AGAGACTGAAGAACGGAGGTAGAGGTGGAGTGTGAGATACAGACTTTACTACAGTTTTTGCCTCAGAATCAGACTTTTGCTGTTTTCTGATGTATTTACTATCTAAACACTGTTGTTGTTTGTTTTTTTTCAAATTTTCTTTGGGATTCTGTCTTTCACTGTTAGAATGTACATATGATTAAAGTTATAGATCGTTGCATTCTTTGTATTGTATTGTATTTTTACTTATTTTTTGTATTTTATATCTATTTTTCTATGACTTAGTCGAATATTTGATCAAATTTCACTTCGGATGTTGGAAAATTCTTCTGTTTAGGCCTCAGAATCAGAGTTTCTGCTGTATTCTGATATATTTTTACTTAATTTTTGTATTTTTTATATATTTTTCTATGACTTAGACATCATGTTTGAACTTTACTTCGGGTGTGGAGTCGAATATTTGATCAAATTTCACTTCGGATGTTGGAAAATTCACCTGTTTTTGCCTCAGAATCAGAGTTTTGCTGTATTCTGATATATCTAAACATGTCTAAACGTAAATAACTTGTTTTCCGGCAGCACCCTGGCCCTGACCCGCGTGGGCCCGGAGGAGGAGGCCATCTACCAGTGCATCGCGGAGAACAGCGCCGGCACCAACCAGGCCAGTGCGCGGCTGGCCGTGGGCCCCGTTTCCGAGCTGCCGCCCGCCCCTGAAGGCCTCGCGGCGGCCGGCCTCCCCCCCGCCGGCCTCAGGCTCACCTGGGGCCGCCCCCCCCCCCCCGGGGGGGAGAGCATCATCGGATACGTGCTGCACATCCGCCGCATCGGAGGTGAGAGCAGAAGCTGGTTCTGGTTTATCTAAATGTGCTTAATAGTATCAGATTAGTAGAAAGTAAAACCTGGATTTCCAGGTTTTTCTGCACTTCTGGCTTTGATGTGCTCCTTTTTTCTTCTATGAACCCACATTTTGCTTTGATCTTTCGCCCTTTTTTTGTTTTAATGCTGTTTTTAAACAGGCATTTTGCTTGTTTAACCTCCTGAGAGCCAAAGCCTCTATCTGGTTCTGGTTTATCCAGATCTCTGGATCAGGAGGAGCTGATAGGTTTAAGAACTAGACTTTGTCCTGGTTCAGGTAGTTTTTCTTCATAGAGGCTCAGTGGGTTTATCTTTAGATGTAAAATGTCTGTTTACAGATTTAATTCATTTGGTTCTGAGGGTCCAAATGACCTATTTACAACATTTTAACTCCACAATATGCTTAATTATGCTTAATAGTATCATATGCTTAATAGTATCAGTTTAGTATTGCTTCAGAGTTTGTTCAGAGTTCCTTATCTGACTGTCCTGGTTCAGGTAGTTTAAATATGCCTAATAGTATCAGATTAGTAGAAAGTAAAACCTGGTGTTCCAGGTTTTTCTGCACTTCTGGCTTTTTGTGTTTTAATGCTGTTTCTCCTCTCAAATATTTGACTTTTAGCTGCTCTCATGGTAGTTTTTTGGGGGTTTTCTGAGCTGAATTTTGCCTGTTTAACCACCTGAGAGTCCAGTTTTTATCTGGTTCTGGTTTATCTAAATATGCTTAATAGTATCAGTTTAGTAGAAACTAAAACCTGGATTTCCAGGTTTTTCTGCACTTCTGGCTTTGATGTGCTCCTTTTTTCTTCTATGAACCCACATTTTGCTTTGATGTTTTGGCCTAATACTGTTTCTCATCCTAAGTATTTTATTTTTAGCTGCATAAGATGCTCTAATGGCAGTTTGTGTGTGGTTTTCTGAGCTGAATTTTGCCTGTTTGACCACCTGAGAGCCAAAGTTTTTATCTGGTTCTGCTCTGTTCCAGATCTCTGATCAGGAGGAGCTGATAGGTTTAAGTACTAGACTTTGTCCTGGTTCAGGTAGTTTAAATATACCTAATAGTATCAGTTTAATAGAAACTAAAACCTTTTGTGCACTTCTGGCTTTGATGTGCTCCTTTTTTCTTCGATGAACCCACATTTTGCTTTGATCTTTCGCCCTTTTTTTGTTTTAATGCTGTTTCTCCTCTCAAATATTTGACTTTTAGCTGCTCTCAGGGCAGTTTTTTGGGGGGTTTCTAAACTGCATTTTGCTTGTTTGACCTCTTGAGAGTCCAGTTTCTATCTGGTTTCTGCTTTGCTAGACTTTGTCCTGGTTCAGGTAGTTTAAATATGCCTAATAGTATCAGTTTAGTAGAAATTAAAACCTGGTGTTCCAGGTTTTTGGGGGGGTTTCTAAACTGCATTTAGCTTGTTTGACCTCCTGAGAGTCCAGTTTTTATCTGGTTCTGGTTTATCTAAATACGCTTAATAGTATCAGTTTAGTAGAAACTAAAACCTGGGTTGTTCCAGGTTTTTGTGCTCTTCTGGCTTCTTTTTTCTTAGATCTTTCGCCCTTTTTTTGTTTTAATGCTGTTTCTCCTCCCAAATATTTGACTTTTAGCTGCATGAGTAAATAAATTAAATAAATAAATAAATAAATAAATAAATAAATAAATAA